TTTTTTAAATTTTAACACACACACACACACACACAAGTGAGAGGCAATAGGGGACTCACTTTAATCAAGCACCTCAAAAATGAGTCATTCTACACACACGCGCACACACGCACACGCACACGCACACGCACGCGCACACACACACACAGACACAGACACACACACACACAAACGGCTCTTTTCAGGAGTGCACATCGGGTAATGCTAATACCGGCGGTATATGCCAATAATGCAAGGGTTACTTTAAAGTACTGTGTCCTTGCGAAAAAAAATGGTAGCGACTCGCTTTTTTTTTTAAATTGAAGAGGAAGGTTTGTACTTTATGTTCCTGCAAACAGTATCCCCGAAGAAAAATGTACCTAGCCTATGCACTGCGTCAAACTTTGCAATTTTCAATATAACAAACATGCCCTCACATTTAAGGTGTTACAGTGGTAGGGATGCATCACACCTAAAAAATAACTATAGTATCTTAAAGTAGAGATTTCAAGCTTTAATTTAAAAAAAAGAACATAATTTTACGATGATTTTTCGCGGAGTTATCGTCAGTCAAAGTTGACCAATTTTTGCATAAAATTTTTCTATGCCATATTTCTTTTGAGCAGTGTAGAATTATATAGGATTATAAAGACTTATATAGAAATACGCATGTAAAAATATGGATATATTTGACATATAATTTTATAGAATTCTACATGGTGTTATGTAATACCCGCCTCACTTCTATTATATGTATATATTTATACATGCTTATGCATGAAAAATTTTTTATCGGGATGGATTAGTTGTGACACTTGCATCACTTTGTTCAGGTGTTTGTACACTGTTGTTGTACATGAATAAAGGAAAAAGCATGGAGTTTCTAAAGGATTAAAAACTGCTGTTTTGAACGATGTGACCGATAGAGTCAATAACTTAACAGATATACACAATTTCCAAAAATGTCACAAGCAATCTTACTCTACCCTGTTCAATATTTTTATAATGTAATCTTGATAGATTGTGTACGTTTGCGGCCTTTTCATGTTTTCTAAACAAAATTTACAAAATACACCATCATAAAAATAATTTAACAAATCGATTACCTGTACTCGTTCAAACTCTCCCTGAACGTAATGTTGTGCTTTATTCAAAGAGGAACTACAATTCTCCACACAGTTATGTACTTTTTGTATGCTGTATGTTTCATTTTCGCAACATTGTGCTGCACACTTGTGCATATCTCTCTAAAATTAAACATTACTTTATCAATTTTACACACATACACAACTATTTCATGACCTGTGTATACACATGCATAGACAGATCCTGAAATAGTATATACACTTTGTTTCTGTAAATATATAAAAAACATAAATGTATATTATATATACGCATACTAGAGTTAGTTAATATATAACCTGAAATTCAATAGAAATACCTGCATTTTCCGTAAATATGTCTTATCAATCTCTTCGACCATCGTGGTCATATGATCTTCAACTCGCTTTCTTTGTTCCTCCATTTTTACCTCAAATGTTTATTATAACTTGATTGTATTCATAATATAAAATACGTAATACACGTGAGATACGTAAAGCCGATTCTACTAAATCCTAACCTAGCCGGCGAAATAAACGAGGTTATCTGTACATACTTGCATACATACATATATACATATACATATACATAGGGTGTGTTCCGTT